GTTAAAAGGGAGAGAGAATTTTTTTATTGATGATTTTGATCCTCCACAGTAATGAAAGTTTTTGATAAAAAAAATCATAACTCCACACTGGTTATCGTTTCGCAGATGAGAAAGACAGTTTACGAACCAACATACAAAGGCGCATTTTCTGGTATACAAATCATTATGAAAGGCCAAGGCATCCAAGTATCCTTCCCCTGTTAGTCAGAAATAATCATAAACAGTATGGACTGGTGAACTGAATGCTTATTTTATGATGCCGCTTGCAGTGGTACAGCTCCACTTACAGGATGCCTTGTCAACTAGAAAGATGCTTTCAAGAAAGAGTCAAAACTAATGCGCAAACCTATTCATGAAAAGATGACTTTTGCTCAAACGCTGTATAAAAACGGGCAAAATGCGATCTCTTCACAATATTTTGTTGTTGTTTTCCCCTTTGATCGTCTGTTATCAATCTGTGAGCTGTTGAAGACTTATCTTTGTTGTTTGGACTTTCTGCTATAGTCGAGCGAATGTTAGCATGAGTAGCAGTGTACTCACAAACCACGGAGATGGGAAAGTAGCGTGCCAGTGGGATCATCTTGACCCCAAATCGTATAGCTACCGTAACCCCCACGCAAGGCGCTCTCGAACGAATAGAAACGATGTGAACAGGGTATTGAATATAAGCTTTCCATCCCCACTTTGCCGAATTGGGTTAATGACTTCAGATGTGCTAGATACCTCCCTTAATCCCGTAAAAGTCATTCTTTGCAAATGAATATCTTTTGCATTTTTTGCAGTAAAAGAGCCCAAATCATTGGTCCGGTGCGCTAAAGCGTGCTCATGGTCGGATACTCTACCCGCCTATGAAATGCCGTAGCAAATCTGCATAACTTCTCCTCCTTTATCCAAAAATTAAGTTTGAAATGCCAGTGTTAACGATGCGTAAACACAAGTGTTCCGTAGGCGCAGTCGAAGCATTTTATTTTACGCCGAAAATGAAATTCATTACTTGTTTTTGAAGCTTTTCCCTCCATGAAATCCATTCTTTTTGATGTTTCCAGTATTATTTAGCGTTCGCGAATCTCCACACTTCATATGGGGTCTGTTCCATGCTACTGAATCGTTTTCCACTGCAAACATTGGTTCTTCGCTCACGTTCATTGGCAGTTTCTTCGACAAAGGTGGGAATTATACGTGTTTGCCGTTTTTGGCAATGATAACTGTATCAAACCTGATTTTCTTACGTTATTACCTTTGAAATCTGTCAGCCAAACGATATTTGCAGATGGCTCAGCAGAATGCAGCAGTATCAAAGGATAAGTCCGGCAATATCGTCTTGAAGATCTTAGCAAAACCCGGTGCGAAAGTGAGCGCTGTGACAGGTAAGCTA